TTACGTGTTCCGGGATACGGTCCGATGTCGGGGCGAGCCCGATGTATGTTAGTTTATATGTTATTTGTTATGAGTTCCGGGCTTCGGTCCGATGTCGGGCAAGCCCGATGTGTGTTAGCTTATATGTTATGTGTTATGCGTGCCGGGCTTCGGTCCGATGCCGGGGCAAGCCCGATGAATGTCTATATGCTTATGTTATGTGTTATGATATATTATATGTTGTATGCATGCCGGGGCAAGTCCGATGCCGGACGGGATCCGATGCCGGACGGGGTCCGATGCCGGACGGGGTCCGATGCCAGACGCGGTCCGATGCCGGGCGGGGCCCGATGCCGGGTAAGCCGATGTCGGGTTCGTCCCGATGTTGCTGGGTAGAGTCCCAAAGTTATGTTATATGTTGTGTGTATGGTATGTGGTAGTTTGGGGAGACTCACTAAGCTTCGTGCTTACAGTTTTCATTTTTGGTTTCAGGTACTTCCACTAGCAAGGGGAAGGGCTCGGGATGATCACATGGCACACACCACATTTTCAGCATGGGAGTGTTTAGACTCTGATATTTTCTCATATGATTTGATATAGTTTTTGACATGATGTTTGAGATACATGATTCTTGATTTTTCATTATGATGATGGATGATTTATGGTTTTAATAGCGATTTTAAAAGAAATTTTTGGTATGTATTGTTGGGATGTTTCAGATTAATCCATAATTCCAATCCAATGGTCCAAACATGCGGGTCCCGGCAATTCTAAATTAACATATCCAAGATTAGGGTTTCCAACCCAATCGCGTTCCAGTTAATCCATTTGTTAAGTTTTTAGGTTAATTAATGTTAATTAAGTCAGGCACCACCCACTACCACCTCGGGTAGTGGTGGTCAACGACGGCTCACGACGGCGGCCACCACCTCGTGGTGGTGGTTATAATTTTAGACTAAATATGTCCAAGCATCTAAACTAACAATCCAATCACACAATGCACACCGCCACCCAACACGGCGGATGGTGGCGGCAGAAGGCGGCAGCCACCACCTCACGGTGGTGGTGGTGGGTTGTTTCCTTGATTAATCTGGCCAAACAATACCTTATACACATAATATCCAAAAGAACACACACAATATAACCCACACACACATATACACACACGCTCGCCACCCTTGTGGCGGCAGGCGGTGGTCGAAGGTGATAGCCACCACCTCACGCTGGTGGTGATGGCTTTTCATCGGTTTTCCGGCCACCCATCGCATACTCTCAACATACACAATCTGCAACAGCAACAAATACGCCTACAAATGCTAATACGAGTGAAACCACCCACCTGGTTGCGTGCAGCGGTCGGAGAGCACCGACGATACTGAGCAGCCGCATGGCGGCGACGATGTAACTGCAGAAGAAAGGTGGCGGCGGTGGTCTCGACTGAAACGACATCCTAATGTTGGTTTTCGTCCTCAGCTACAGTAGGAATGGCGACAACGAAGTTATCCCGGTGGTTCCCAGCTTCGATAGCGATGGCGGCGGCTGGAAGGTCACGAGCGGAGACAACCACGACGTCACTGCTTCTCCGATCTCCAACTGGTGTAGCTTCATTCCCGGTTTCCTGCCGGTCTTCGTTGTTGTCGACAACGAGAACCGCCGGTGGGCGTTTGATGGTGCTAGGTGGTCGGAGTCGATAGCGGCGACTGGAGGTAAAGAAAGAAGGTGGCGGCTGTATGAAGAATAGGGTTAGGGTTATGGGGGGTGACGGGTTCTATACCCCGACTCTATATGAAACTTCATCCGACGTTGACACAATCGGTCTCTCATTTCTGAAATATTTTTCAACTTAGCTCCAATATTTACCAATTATACCCCGACTTCTGAAATCCCTTTCAAACAAAACCCCATAATTTACCAAACAACCCACCGCTTTGAGAATTCGTTGCAAAACCAATCCGGAAATTACCTTTTAATCCCCAAGATCTCAATTATGACATATTCAATCCTTCCTTCTCTAATTATTACCATCTAAATCCCCATTTTACTCTTTAGTCCTTGCTTCCCACAATTTATTACAATTCAAATCCAAATATTACAATAAAGATCCCAATTTCCAGAATTTATGTCATTTAGCTCCTTATGACACACACTGGTAACTTATTACGGATTTAGGGCCACTATTCATTTATTAATTTTATCCATTTATTTATTTATTAAACGGGATGCTACAACTAAAAGTCAACCATGGTCAAAAGTCAACGACCAAAGTAAACTTTGACAGGTCTCATCGCCGTGGCCACTCATAGGCCACATCGTGGGCACTTCAAGACAAAACGGTCGGAAATAAGTCAATTCCCACGTTGTGGCCACCCAATGCCACGCCATGGAAATGTCTAGGAGAAATGGTCGCAGAAACACCAGTCGCCACAACATGGCAACCAGTAGCCACGCCGTGGGTACTGGGCACCAACAAGTTAATGGATTAAGTTGTTGTAATCAATCCCAATAGATCTAAAGCTCAGATCTTGTTCTCCTCAAGGTCTTGATGGATAAAATTTCCAACTTTATCCATTAAGACATCCTATTAAGACAAGATCTCAAATTATATGTCCTTCATGATAACACCAAGGCATGGACTCACTCAATAAGTCATGCAAGCCAAATTTCTAACCAACCCCAAGGTCCAGAAGCTATCAAATGCACTCAAGGGTTCTAGAGTTCCTTCAAACTCCAAGAACAAGAAGATTTATGACCAAAAGCTCATAAAATGACCTACAACTAAATCTAGAGAAATAATGGGGAAGGTAGAGACTTTATACCTCTAATAAGTTAGAATTGAGATGAAGATGATGGATCTAAGCTGTAACCACAGTCACAAGCAACACTAAGAGCTCCTTTTTCCTTCAACCTTTACAATAATGGAGTTCAAGCAATCAAAAAACATAAATGGAGGCTATGGTTTAGATGGGGTTCGTTTTCAGATGGTGGAGGCTGCCACCCTATGAGTTAGTGCCCTTAAATAGGGCACCAATCCTGAAATTAGGGTTTTAGGCCCAAAAGACTGCCACGCCATTGCAAACATAACGTCATGTTGTTGCCAATCGTGGATGCGCGTTTCGCATCAATCGAGTGCCACGCCGTGGCCAAGCCAAATAAACAAAAATAAATAGCCAAAACTCATAAATGAATACCTGGAATGAGGATGTTACAAATTATTTTCACAAATAGATCATATAGATTCATAAATTGAACCAATATTTATGTAGTGATCCCTTGCCACTATACACTTTAAAATGTGTTAGAACATAGGATTTTTTACTTGTTGGCCTCATCAACCACTTAATGTTGACACCGTTTCCATGGATTGGTTTATTTTGATTAATTTCTTTTTCTATGCCTAGATCTCTTTGTACATATCATGGAGTATAACCCTAAAATTGAGAAAGAAGTGAAACATATAATGAAAGAAATGATATTACAATGTGGTCAAACTTCTAGAATTAATGTGACCCTGTATATTCAATCTAAGTCAATAGGTGGTACTGACGTTAAGCTTGAATCAAGCCTTGAACTTCGCCAAGTCATTCCCGAAACACCCCCTACAGAAGCCACGTCAAATATAATTGAAACACGTCCCATAAATCCCGAACAGCGACCCATACAAACCAATTCCAATGGCGGGAGAAGAAGTTCATGAAAGAACCTTAAGACACTAATGTCACTCAAACTCCTAATGACATCAATTACCATGTTCTTGAAGGGCGTATAGAATTGAAATCAAGTTTGATACACCATCTTCCTACTTATCATGATTTGGAGAACGAAGACCCACATAAGCATTTGAAAATGTTTCACATAATTTGCACTAGTATGGAGCTACAAGGATGTATTGATAATCACATAAATATATGGGGTTAAAAATGATTCAGGCTCTTATCTCGAGACGGGATGTTGAGGTGGTGATTATAGGTGACTTTACTGGAGTTAGATTTGATTCTTAAGGTTATGGTCGATGTTTCGTAACAACCAAGTTGACATCTTCAATGACTTTATTTCGAATAAAATTCCAAAAAAAATAAAAATCATAAAAAATATAAATAAAATAAAATAAAATGTAAGCGGCAATATATAAAAAATTACACAATTATATATATATATATATATATATATATATATATATATATATAACAAAAACAAAAATTAAAAAGTAAGGATAAAATGGTATTTTTAAATGGATTAAGGATGTGCAGTGCAATTTCTTTAAACCACAGGGATGCATCTTGTCGAATTTTCAAAATTTGGTTTGAAAGTGTGAATCTGAGCAAACCACATGGACCAAAACTGTAATTTACTCTATAATCTATAAATGTATTCTAGCTAATAAATACTTAGTGGGTGTTTGGGATAACTTTTTAAAATAGCTTATTAGCTTATTAGCTTTTTAGCTTTTCAAAAAGCTAATAAGCTAAAAAAGTGTTTGTGTATTTAAAAAGCGATTTTTAAAACAGCTTTTTAGATAGGAAAAAGTAAAGCTTTCAAAAAGCTGGAAAATCCTAGCTTATTAGCTTTTTAAGTCATTTTGCTCCTAAAAAACAGTTTTTCTTATCCAAACACTTTTTAAAATCAGCTTTTCCTAAAAGTCATAAGCTAATAAGCACTTTTTCTTAAAAATCATCTTTTGTGCTAAAAAAGCTAACCCAAACATGCCCTTAGTTACTCAAGTTAGTCAAACATGCATGTTTTAAATTATATAACAAATTGTATTTCTGGATTTATATACGCATGAATGTATCCTAAGTAAGAAATTTAGGTTTCAAATGAACACTCCTTAAGCATGGGTTTACACTTGTCTCTCAAAAGAAAGGAAATGTGTCCAATTCAGACGAATATAGCATTTTGCAAAAACCTTGTGGAATGGGGGACTAATATTTCAAAACCACGAAAAAAAAAGGTTATACATGTGCATGCTAAAATGCCCTTATAATCATGTGATTAGTAATTAGTCATGCTTTATACTCTTAATATCTATATAAACATAAGTAAAAGGATAAGTGACAAGGTTCCTCATGTACACAAAACATGAAAAAAAAAACAATAGGTTATAAACTAGTCGCTTAACACTAAAAATGATAACCTGTCTTTTCAAACTTGATGCTCAATATCCAAAAGTAGAGTTATGAAGATCAAGTTTTGGGATGGAATGCCATTCTTTGAATATGAGTTTGTGTTGGTAGCTTAACATCAACGGCCACCCCAATAACCTCAAGAAACCGAATCATATACCATGTCATATCGATCTGCCACCATTCTAATCCATGTTTTGCTGAGTATTCAAATGCATGGTGATTGTTGTGCCATCCTTCTCCAAATGCTAGAATTCCCACCCACCTTTCCATGTTCATGTTGCCAATATTTTTCATGTAGTGTATATCTAAACAAAATGAAACTGAAACTATTTTAATAGGTTATCACTCACCAATTGTTTCGCGAAAGGTCTCCAGTGTCCCATGCTTGTTGTCCCCATACATGACAAGCCGAGTTCACTAGCCATGTAATGTGGTACACCCAAACTATCCTCACACCCTGTATTCAAATCAATATATTGGTGATCTTAAAATGTTTCGGTTTCTTGAAATAAGATATAACATCATGATACATAACAACCTTTACGTCTTAGGGTTGTGAACTACAACTTTCATTATTGTTATAAGTTCATCACAAACTTATCAAGTCATTCTACTATTTTGGGAAATTTAGATTAAAGCCATAAAGTAAAAGCATACATGTGTCATACCATTCCCCATACAATAAAGGGAAATCCCCCGAGTGCATATAGAACAAGGGCGAGTGCTACTGGATGTACGACATAAGTTCTTCTAAGAAACCTATAAAATGGTTGTTTCTCCAAATCTCCAACGTTGTTCGGCTCTCCACACTGCAACATGAAACATTGAAAGTAATCAAATGGTGAACAGTTAGAAATTAACTTGAGAAATCCGTACCCTTTTTGTAACGTTGTCAGTATCAAACAACCAACTCATATGACTGAACCAAAATCCTTCAATCGGGCTATGTGGATCTTTCTCCGAATCACAGTATTGATGATGATACCTATGTGTGCTCACCCAATCTATTGGGTTTCCCTGATGAATTCATATTTCAGGTCAACAATGGCGAGTTTGATAAGAACAATCTGGAGTAAACAAAAATATATGCATTTTATTTTATATTTATAATTTGATTACTGTAATTTAAAGGACATCTATAAGAGTAAGACTAGCTATAACCATCATCCTTTTCGAAATCGATTAATTTATGTGAATTTCGATATAAATGTCAGTTCAATCTTGATAATATTTATATTATCAAAATCATTGGTTTAATAAATATGTCAAATAAGTTTATAAACAAACAGAAGAGGTGTCTATTAAAATAAAAAATTGATTTTATATATAGTATATCTAAAATAAAAATTAATGAACAAGAATGTTTGATTTTCACCTGAAGAGCATGGACCCCGCAATAAGCGAACGTGTATTCAAGCCATTTCGGGAGCTTGAAGCTTTTGTGAGATAGATTTCTGTGGAAGGAGAGAGTAATACCCAAAAGCCCAGTCACCACATACAACGCCACCGCTACCGATAAAGCTCCCCAACTGAATGTAAAAGGAGCGAAACCACATAGCAAATGCATCGCCACCACCACTCCCGCCGTCGTCAGGTCCATGGCATTCCATTTCCTACCCCTATACACCTCCCTCGGCCGCTTCACCACCACGTCCGACAACAAAATTCTTGCCTGTCCACCGCCTTCCACCGCCGCGTTGACAATTCGCAACGCATGTCTTTTGAGGTGGTGGTGGGCGGTTTTCATACTCGTTTTTGTCTGTATAACCCGCCGCTGTTCGGTGTAGAGGTGAGATGGTACCGATTTTGAGCGGTGGATTAGTTTTGGAAAGAATTCGGCGGCAGGAGGTGGCGCTATCAACGCCATTGGTGGTTCTGATTTATCAACCTTGATTTGTTTTATAGGTATATGAAGATGTGCTTCTATCTCCATTTTTTAATTTAATTTTTACGAATACGACGACGGAATTCGGCAAATCTTACCCAGATCATCAAATACGCAGTCGATAAAGAACCCCACGTGGCAATGCCGATATGGCTGTGAAGATTTATTTGTATAGGAAATTTCATCCACAGATTTGTCAAAAGATCTTGAATTGTTGATATTCTTCAAGATTTCAATTCTGTGGATGGGTACTTTTATCCTGTGTTCACGCGCACCAGCTGTTTGTGAGAATGCGTACAACAAGTGCTTCATTATGCCACTCGTTGACTCAAGTTGTATGGTCTGGTCGTGCTAATTCCAGACCTTCCATTGCAATCACACATGCTAAACAGCTTTGCTATTTGAGTTTGATTGCAACTTTTGGAAATAGTATTGTATTGTATGTGTGATTATCGATCTTTAACGTAGGTGATGGGATTTTTTATTTATAAATCCAATGGTTAAAGATCATGACTTTCTGTTGTTCCCTTCATATATAAAGCTATATATTCGTTCTACTTTAGAGCATAGAAAACACGCATAGTGAACTCGTAGTTCATAGGGACTTCTTGTTCATGGTTCATACGGCTCTTTCTGTTACTATCACTAAAATATAATGAGCAAAAATCTAGCGTAAAGAGTGGGTATAAACATGCATTTGTAATACCCGTTTTACATATATCCAAATAGGATGTTCCATGGTTGAGTTATACTAAAATGATTATATGATGGTTAAGTGTTGTGGTACGTCATCCTTCACTGGAAGTTGAACTTGGCCTCTACAGAATGATCATAGAACCTAAGATGGATAGACAAAGACTGTTAGATGCATTACTTGGAAAGCTTCCGGTAATGTGGTAACTCATGTTACTTGGAAGTGAACTTGGCTCTACAGAATTGTCAAACCTAAGATGAGAAAACTGTTAGATCCACTGAAAAACTCGGCCAAGGTCAAGTACCCAGAATTTTGACTTTTTTTAGAACAAAACAATCTATAATTGTTATTTATATTCATCTATTTTGTTATAAATTTTAATAAGCTTGTGATATTTGTTATATATTTTTTTCCTAAAATTAATTTCATGTAATTTATCCAATTCGAATATTCCCGTCCTAGACCGAATACTATGTTGGTGATTTTAGTGTTATCAACATATTTTGGTGTAATTATTATTAATAATGAGATAGGTCGAGCTCTATTTACTAACCGAGCTAGGAGGTGCAGGGTGCACACTCAGAATGATAAATGTTAGCTCGGGAATACAGGGGTCCGGAGGCAGCGCCCCTGGGTGCAGGGTTCCAAGGGGTTGCGCCCCTTGCAGGGTCTAGGGGGAACGCCCCTAGCGGGGTCCATGGGGCAGAGCCCTAGCATTGGTTCCAAATCTGGATGCAACCACCGATAACCAGATTTTCCCTCTTGTATAAGAATATTCTTCATGTTCCAGAAAACGGGTTACAAACTATATACTCTCAAAATCTTATTATTAAGATTTGATATATCTCTCAATAACACATTAACAAGGTATTTTGTGTTTCACAGGAATTAGGCATGTAATTCAAACTGGTTCATTCTTAGATTATCCCACTTCTAAATTTGTGTGCCCCGAGCAAAAGGGACGAATTACAAATTTCGGAAAGTGTTTGAAAACACGATCCTTGAACCTATCCAAGTTTATATTTATTGTTATTCTGATCCCTTAATATCTAACATTTTCGCTAGTCGGCCGCCCTAGGAACGCTTAACGAGTTTTGCAACATTGTCCATGATACCAAACATTGTGGGTTTATTATTTAGTAAAGATAATATTTGTCATTGGTTTTGGATTTTAGGGATTACTTTATATTCTTTGTATCGTTGGAACTGTTCGTGTGAATCGAGTGAGATATCGTTCGGAAAGTCGAGTCAAATTCAACAATCCATATCCAGGATGTGAGGTCCCCCAACAAGCCTCCTCATGAGAAGATACATGTCAAAATACTTTGTTATCCGAACTTTAATAGTTTTGACTTCGTCATCCAAAAATTTGATAGCTATGTACCACTTGTCTCAATTGGCAGTGCACACACTCGTGTGACATCATGTTGTTTATTTTTTAAAGGGAAAAATACAAAACTAGCCATTTTTCCTAATTACTTATCAAAAAATAGTCAAAAAAACCCACTTAGCCAAAAATAGCCCACAAAAGAGTAGTCAAGTTTTGGTTGACTACGGTCAACAGAGGATGACTACGGTCAATGCCCGTTGACTACTCTTTTTCCCTAATGGGCTACTGTTTCAAGGGGCCGTTTACTTTTTCGTGATCCATTAGCCCAAAGTATATAATGAAATTTTTTCAGATTAGGTCATTTTCCTATTGTTTTCTTTTGTTTGGCTACGTTTTTCTCTCAATGGAACACCCGAAGAACAACCAGCTTTGTCTACTTTTCTTAAAAAATTTACCGTGTTTGTGATTAGGAGTAGGTTTTGTTTATGGGGATAAATTTTTTTTTGAAAAAAATTGAAAAAAAAATATAAAACCGTAGGATTCATATGAAACCTACGGTGTACAAGTGCCCAATTCACTGTTTGTGCAGTGTCGACTTGTACACTGTAGGTTTCATATGAAACCGTACAGACGTTTTTTTTTTTGTTTTTTTTAAAGAAAAATGGTATCAATAGAATAGGAATTGGATGTATTTTGTTGTGGTATAATTTAAAAAAAAAAAAAAAAAGGCTACCGTAGGTTTCACAAAAAAGCTGTTTTTTTTATTAAAAAAAATTTAATAGCCAATAAACATTTGTATCCCCCCAAAAAAAAACCTTAGCTTTTTTTGCGAAAACCGTAGACTACGGTTTGGGAAACCGTAGGTTTTAAAAAACCTACGGTTTTGAATGTCAAAAATGATTTTTTTTATACAAAACGCGAAACATTAGATGAAATGGCGAAACAGTTGGCGAATCTCGAAACCTACGGTTTCGTGGGCTATTTTTGGCCATTTGCTAATTTTTGGCTAAAAATTGATAATTACCCTCTTAATTTGGCTAGATTAGTAATTGACGCTTTTTTAAATGGTTGTCTAATCACATTTATTAAAGAGAGACGTGCCATGATTATCACACCTATTTTTCTTTCCCATAAAAGACGTGGTTCTTTGTTAGGGTTTCTTTTTGTCTTCCTTTCATCCTTGGAGACTCTCTCTCTCTTCTTAATTTTTGTTCTATAATAGCTATCAATCGATTGGAGGTAAGTTACTTCAACTATTATTCATGTTCCTTTATAACGAGTTATTCAATATTACGAACTGATCCTAGAAGACGGTGAAGAAGTTTCGAACAAGCACTTAAGTATTAATGAATTCCTCTTGGTGGTAAGAAAGAGTAAGGATCGGGAAAGTTCTCCTTCTTCTCTATTCTTTAGTTGGGTGGTGGAGCATTATTGTATCCACATGATTTAACTTAAGCCAAATGTGGTTGTGAAGTTAATAGGGTTTAAACTTCTTTATTGCGCTATCGGGATTATGGCAGAGTTAGGATCATTTTGTCGGTATTATCACATAACCAAAAATAGTGACCGATACACTTTTCACACCTATACCCATGGTTCTGTCGTTCACAATCTGCATAACTCTATACAAAATAGGAAGAGTTGGTTCTTATGGGTAAACTTCAATATATTTGATTTTTTTATGTCCTTCGCAATCATGTTCTTATTCCTTGCAACAAGCCTTATGTTACTACCATGCTTTTAGTGGCACATATTTGTAACATCTCTATTATGACTATGTATTTCCAGAAGTGGTGTTGGCTCTTGCATCAATGAGTCCTTAGTGACACCGTCAATCGAGGAATGCAAAACTTTTTGTTTAAATGAGAGGTACTAGTTTTGGAACGTTCTTCATTAAATGTTTACCTGGGTGATTTCCTCTTTTGTTCCTTATGATTGGCTTTAAATTTTGTATATTTCCTCTTATTGATGTTGAGCTGCTTAACATGAGTTTCATGTAACTCTACAAATGGATCTCGTAAACCAATTTACATAGGGTAATATGAGGGTGAACAGTTTTATAATGGGATGTTGATATAGGTCTAGTTGTTAATGTGGGCCCAGGTTTAGGTGTAAATGTTGGTCTGGATTTCGGTGTTGATATTTCGGATGTGAACATTGATCTTGAGTTCGATACTGATATGGATGCCAATGTGGATATTTCAGATGCCAACATTGATGGTACTGAATTTTTTCATGAATCCTATGATGTTGAGCAAGAGAATCGGCCTGATAATTCTTTTGTATGAGACCACTTCTAAAGAGGACTATGGTGGTTTTGGATTGTCAGTCTTAGGAATGTTGTGTCTACTAGAGAGAATGTGGACAATCCTTTAGGGGGTCGCTTGTAAAGAGGAAACGTCAAGCTAGTTTAAATGTTTTTGATGATTCCTACTTGGTTCGCTTGTTCATTAAACCAATGTACTTAAAAAAATGTACAGTGTTGTAATGAGAATGAAAGTAGGATGCTATAATAAACAAATAAATTCAAAGTGCATTCAGTTTAGTGCATTTACCACCTAAATATGGAAAATGCACCAAATGGAAATGTACTTTCGTTTTTGGTAAAGAAATCAAAGATTAGGGTCAAGGGTAAAAATGGTCGTTTCTACAATGGGGTGAATAGATCAAATCATATTCATGCAATTAGTGTTGAAATATTATGAAAGTGAATCTCCCTTGTAAAAACACTAGGATAAAAATGGTAATTTACTCACCCTCCAAAAAAGAAACAGAATCAAGCCCTTACCATGATTTGTCACCCACATTTTTAGGCATACCCCCAACGAACAAGTGTCATTGCAGCCATTTCAACCTCAAAGTAAGTCTCTACGTCATGAACTAATGTTACTGATGAGAATTCATCCTGCATTAATAAAACAGTCATTCTAAAAAAGGGTATTTATGTCCTTTCAAACCAAAAGCAAGTCTCTGTTACACCATTGTACTTTGGTTTTTTTTTCTCATTAAGGCAATGTACTTAAAATAACTTACACATGCAATTTTTAATAAAAATAGAGTGTACTGAGAAATTAAAAGAATCTGATTGTTGCTTGTGGGGGTGTTTTTCTATTCATTCTATATGTTGGACATACTCTGCTACAACTCAGCTCCACCATTTGATCTTCTAAGCTCTGATCCAACGGGGTGGAATGCACCAAGTACAGAATTATTAGACCCTGATCAAGTTGTCAATAAGTAAAATCATTATACATAGAAATTATGTTTTGGTAATATGAATAGGTAAAGATAAAGTGGCAAAAGGTGAACTTTGATACCTCTAACCTGAGTGGCGATGGTCGGGAATCAACAAGCTAGTCGGTGATTGTGGTGGTGAGGAAACAGTTGTAGCTTTCATTGTCTTCTTCTCGACCGGTACCGATGTAGCAATCGAGCAATTGCGGGTTGATGCACCAGATGTAGAATCTCTTTTCTGCTTCTTAGAAGACATTGACATAAAAGTCAACACAACGCACACAAGGACAAAGAATAAACAACGATTGAAACACACAAACAGACTTAAAGAAACAACAACAAATAGAAAAATACAAAACACAAGCATCAAAATTTAGTTGAAAAGAGAAACAGGTAAGGAGCATGCCAAAAAAACGGGTAACAACATACTTAAGAAATTGGAAAGACACAGAAGGGAAAAAGGAATTGGTTGTGATAACCCCCAAGAAAATCGGAGATCATTTTATAAACTTGTACAAAATTAAATATGAATATTAGCTCACCAAAAAGCTCATCGATGCAAGAGCCGTGGCCATTTAACTACGGAACTATGAATGATATGAAAAACAGAATGAAGAACACACTAAACTAACATTAGTTTATATAAGAGCAGTGAAAACCAACACCAAAGTTCTCAAGTACAACATGAATGAGAAATTAATACATATGATTTCTTAAACACCAGCACCACCAAAACTTCAACACCAGCCATGATCGATCGTTGTATCAGTGATATTGATCGATCTCTTTTTTCTTTCAAAAACTAACTTCCAATTCCTATTTTTTTCAAAAAAAAACCAATAGATGATAGGACATATAAGGTCTAAAAAGTTCACTGATAAATTTTAACAAACACATGTTGAGCAAACAATTCTAACATTTAATCAAACTTACCATCTCATTTGAAATTGGTCCTTCTACGCTTTAAATCAAAACCTTTCAAACTTAAACATAAGCATCGACCAAAGTTAATGATGCAACTGACAAACCAAAATTCAAAAACCAAAAAGCTTAAAATGTACAAAGGTTGTAAATGAAAGAAGAGTTGGATCGATTCTTACCTTGCCTTAGCGTCGAGTGGAAGACATGTGCCCTTCTTTTCTCATTCATTTTTCAAAATGGTGATCCCGTTAACCACAACTGAAGAAAACAGATGATTAAAAAAATATAGTGAAGCAATAAATGAGGTAAAGTAAGGTGGAATCAATATTAACCCTATAAATGAAGTCTATAAATATTTGGATAGAATTTAGGGTTCGAGAAGGACAGGTACGAAACGATTGAAACAAAGCGAAGAAATTTGAGAACACAAGATACCTGGAGTACCAACTATGATGTGAACTCGGAGAAAAACCATTACCGATTAAAGAAAAACAATCGAAAATGAAGACGGATCAAAGAGACAAAGATGGGAGGAGACAAGATTTCACTCTCTCGTATGCCTCCAATATCGACATAGTGAAAAAAAACCTTATTTTTGTGGCGTTATCACGTGTAACAATGAAGAACATGGTGTTGACAACTGAATGGAAGAAGTAGGCAATGATACAGGCCAGGAACCAAATTTGTTAACTTGTAGAAAGTTTTGTCGCCAATTACTAAATTTCACAAAAGTAACTGTTCATAAGGTCACCCGCTTTTAATATTATATATAAATGAAAAAAATGGCTTAAGATTTGGGAGGTTACAATTAACTAATTTACTATGGTTTGGTTGTTATCGGTTGTAACACCCCGATGATTTTTTTAAACAAATCCAAATTGTTTTGGTTTTTGAGGGACCACTTTTTGATAAAAATGATTGTATATCATAAATTAAAAAACACAACATTTTATTGTTTAAAAAGGTCGAGTGTTACAGATGACTCCTCTATGAACTCACCAAATTTGGGATGGATGAATTTGCCAAGTTCATCATTGCATATTATATATTTGTTTTTGGGACTTTGTGAAAAGCATGGATCAATAAAAGACATTTGGATACCTAAGCAATTTCAATTCAATATGCATTCTAGGTAGATCATGGAAACATAATTCATGTGGATGGTCTTTGAAAAGTTAGTGTTGAGACTTAGGAGGAGTACCTTTTGAGACTTTCACAATATGTAGATGTATTAATATTGTATAATGTTGGATTAAAGATTATAACTCTACATGTAAAATAATGTGTGTATGGGATACATATCATGTATAGCAGATGGCATCATGTGTAAGACGATTCAGTGACCACGATAAGGGGATGGTGTTTGGGAACAACTAGTGACATCAATTTAGACGTGGTCAGGTATAATGTGACTATTATTTCATGTATTGTTTGTTATTGGGTGTACACCTGCTATAATGACATTGTTCTTAATGTACGAGGATAGGATATTGATATACAATAATCCATAAGGCAAAAAAATTTGGGATGTCATATCTTGAGTATGGAAAAGCAAGATACCAATATCATTTTATACGCGAAATCATAAAGGTTATTTGTATAAGTCAACATTGGTTGGCTCCATCAGTTTCAACCCCTTAAATACTCACCATTATGACAATGAAGGGTCATTAACAAATATAAGTAAAGTTGTATATAAATTTTTGTTTGAAAAATGACAAACCAAAATCGATCCTATATAACTCAAAGTCAAAGACGGGGTAAAACATTCTAGTAGAATAGAAGATCTTCAAGATTACCACCAAAAAACACATCAAATCTTCACATCTACTTCACTTGATACACCCACACACTAAAAGAAAGGAAACCAATCCAATAACTCACTTCAAAGTAGAATGGAGGCTGCAAAATAGGGTTTGTTCCCGGATATTAGGGTTAGGCTACCTTAAATATGTGATAACTTTCAATTTAGGCCCTCAAAGGACAAGAAAACGAACCCATGACTCCTCTATATGATCAAGTATCATTTTCTTGCACATTTAGCCCTTAGAATTGAACTTTAACCCAACATAAAGGTAACTTAACGGAAAGACATGACGGAACTAACCATGGTGATGGAATGGAAAATTTCGGTTCGTTACATTTAGGCAACTAGATTGGTGATGATGTGTGAAAAGAATAATGATGATTTTGTTCATATAGTGAAGGTGGATGTAGCACATGGTAGGAGTTGATGGTAGGTGTTGTTGGTTTTAAGTAGTAGTCAATGATGATGACACAAAGCTGTTGGTCGGGTTGTGTTCGGTAGAGGAAACCAAAATATTATGTCTATTTCCTTATCCCCAGGCAATGTCTCCATACTAAGCTCTTCCTCCTGAGTAAACTCAACAGTCTCATTGGAAGTCCGAACGACTATAATATGCTCCTTGAACCTGACAATTAACATATCTATGATCCGCCTAATGACACCAAGCAAATTCTCTGGTAAGGTTTTTGAAACCTCAGCAACCATCTAACCATGCAGTTTGACGTTGTTCGCACGAATCCTAGAGCTCTCTTCTCCATGCCGAGTAGTCGGTGTGTTTTTTAACATAAAAAGAACTCATAACCGCCTATCCAAAGGGTTATCATTACACTACTCTCTATCTATTCATCCTTCGGTGTCCTAGATCACCATTTTCAATCGAATGGAAACCCATTTCAACGATGTACAAGCATACTATCTATATGCTCACTAGCTCATACTCAACCCCTTGGGTTCCACGTGACTTTTCCCAAATCAAGCGTGGATCCTGTCTTTCTGATAGTAGGTGTAACGCCCTGTTCCGAATTGGTTCCTAATGCGGGGTGGTGACCCGAAGACCGAGTATCATCAGGTGTAAGGCCTTTGAGGAAAACAAATTTAGACCCATTTGAGTGTGGGTAGGGTAATTGGGGCGATCCAGGAAGTTCGGTTTGTGTTTTGGAGCCAAGGGGTATTTCGGTAAAGTGTCAGTTTGGGATTTTATGGAATTTGGATTTTTGTTCGAGAGGTTTTAAGGCATGTATTGGTTTATAGAAGCGTAGAGCTTCTCATTACCTTTTCATGAATGTAAGGATCATTGGAAACGGACTTAGAACGAAGAAGTTATGGCCTTCGGAATTTTTAGTGGTTTTAGGGTGAAACCGGATACGCGGGGCGTACACAAGTATACGTGGGGTGTACTAGTGCTAAGGCCGATACGTTGGGCGTACAATGGCGTACGTTGGGCGTACTGAACAGAATAATCGCGGATGACCAAAGGAGTACGTTGGGCGTACCAGAAGTACGTTGGGCGTACTCCAATCAGACCCAAACCCTATTTTAGGGTCTTGGACCCTATTTAAGCTCCTTATCTCATCACTTAACCCTAATATCTTCAGCCTCCTTCCCTCTAAACTCTAGAATCAAAACCCTAGCCCCTATTTGAGTGGTTTTTGAGCTTTTGGTAGTATTTCAAGCTTTTTAGTGTTCATAGAAGAAGAAGGAACTTCTTGGAGAAGTGTGGGATGGCTTGAAGCTTTTGGATCCAGTATTGTTGCATCTTGATCTACATTTTGCAGGTATAAAGTTTCTATCTTGATGTAACAGCCCAAATTTCCAAATAAAATTTTCATTTTTAGATAACCAAAACATTCCCATAAAATATGAAATCTCAATAACAATTGTTTTCAAAATCAATAACATCAAACATTTTATTCAAAATATCAGAGTGTCCCCAAATAAAATCGTCGGAGAGTGCATGTCACGCCATCAAACCTTGCCCTTGCCCTTAGGCTCTGAAGTACCTGAAACAATCAACAAAATGTAAGCTAATGCTTAGTGAATCCCCCAGAGCATACCCTACACAATCCACATAGTCAAACCATGAATACAACATATAGGGATGTCATGTAAACCCTCCAAGGTCTTATACTGAGTGCCACTGGAACCCCCACGTAGTCTTAACTACCTTCCATGGGAACCCCCGCATGGTCTACCTGCCATGGAAACCCCCACATGGTCTTCACTAACTGCCATGGGAACCCCCACATGGTCTTCACTAGCTGTCATGGGAACCCCCACATGGTATTCAGTAACCCAAGAAATATCATAAGGGCTAAACATACAAACATACTAGGATGCCATGGAAACCCTCCAACGTCTTACACCAAATGCCATGGGAACCCCCACATGGTCTTAATCTACTTCCACGAGAACCCCCCTGGGGTCTTCCATGCAAATGCCATATCAACATAACACATAATCAATCTAGCAATCCACATATCATAAAATGGGTCGGCCTTGGTACCTTAGACCCATTGGTATGGTGATGA